AAGAGAGCCCCAGAGTCAAATTCATTTGTTTTCCTAAAAAGTTTTTGAAGGTTTTTTCGCGTTTTCGCCTTGTCGGCCTTCCGACGCTCCAAGATGGCCCAAGAGGCCCCAAAGATCGCCCCAAAACGGCTCAAGAGGACCCCCAGAAAGCGCCGAGACGGCCCAAGACGCCCCCAGGACGGCCTAAGAGGCTTCCAAGACGGCCCAAGAAGGCCCAAGGAACGCCCCAAGAGGGGCCCCAGAAGGGGGGCAGGGACCGGCATAACCCGCCAGGAGGCCCCAAGAGGCCCCCAAGAGACTCCAAGAAGCTTCCAAGAGGTCCCCAGGAAGCCCCCGGAGGGCCCCAAGAGGGCCCCAAGATTGCTTAAGACGGCCCCGAGATGGTCGGAGACGCCCCAGGGCCCAAAGGCTGCCCAACAGGGCTCCAAGATGTTCAGAGACGCCCCGACAAAGGTGGCACAGCGTCAAACGGACAACACAGGAACCAGCATAATGCGCCTTAAAGCGGCACAGCGTCAAACGGACAACACAGGAATCAGTATCGTGCGCCCTATAAGCACCCTCTTCTTTGTTTTTCTCTTCCTCGCAAATCGCGCCCGTTTGTCCTCCAAGGTCGAGGTTCGTGGCAACATCAGGTTTCTGGCGTCGAACAAAGCCTCATGCTAGAGTAAGAAGTATGGAAGTGTAGAACGGGAGCGTGATTGCTGCTGGGGGCCTTTTTCTGGGCGCAACACCGAAACGTTCGAGCCTGCGCCTCGCTTTTTGAGAACATGTGGTGCGATAAAGGAGGACCTTGCCTTCGATGATCGAAGGAGTTGTCATCTCTTCCTCGGTGGAAGGCGGCGGAAGGGCGGCGGAAGGTCAGCGGAAGTAAAACGAGGCCGCCTCCGCCGGCGGAAGCCGGCGGAAGGCCAGCGGAAGGCAGCGGAAGTAAAAGATGCGGCCCCAAGGGATGAACACGTTTTTGGGTTCAGGGTTTCCAGCACCCGCTTTGTAGCCAGACTCCGAGGCGACACCGCCAACACGCGGTAGAGGAGGCCCAACAATATTCATCATGGTTTCATTTTGAGGATAGGGTGCGATTCCTGGAAGGTTGCAATTAGCATTGGCGTTGGTAGATCCAAGGTCGGAAAACCGTCCACTCCAGTATATTCCCGTCTACGTACGCCTAAGCCTGCGAAGCCTGGTTGAACCAGGCTGAATCCCGGGCCCAATTTGGGTTAATCCAGCCCAGTGGCCCATTCAGCGGGCTGAATGGCCCTTCGTCGTGCTCACGAAGACCTCCCAGCAGATGCCATTGAAAGAGTATGTTAGCTGAGGACGGGGCTAGGACGAGGATAAATCCGTTCCACAGCGCTCCGGAGCACCCTCAGATCGACGACCCGAAATCCTTCACATCAGTAATTTTGGGTCTCGGAACCCACAGGGCGGTTTTTCATGTTTTCCATTCGACGTTCCATGCAGCCCGATGTCATTCCGAGGCGCGCGTCGAACGTTTTCGATGGCGCGTCGCGTTATGCGACGTCACGTGCGTTGTGGTCGTCAAAGGCTTGCGTGCTTATTGCGGATCGGTTGATGTGGGCTGGGGTTTCTCAGGATTGTACATTTGCTTTGCGCTGGGGCGGTTTCGCCCCCCATCCCTGGCTGATCCACCCCACGGGTAACGTCGCAGGAAGAGTTCGAACATTTGGTTCGTAGTGCCAGCGATGCTGTCGCGGACATTGACCGCGCCACGGGGGGGGGTCGTCCAGAAATTTCCTACCATTTTGCAGTGTTGGTTCTTGGTTTTGAAGATACACCGCCCCGCGTCATTCCTTCCGGCCCCCTCCCTCGTCCTCCCTCTTCGCGTATCTGCCCCTGCTCTCCGCGTGTCCCCGTCGTCATCGTCCATCGTCATCGTCGCCATCACCATCATCATCAGCATCATCAGCATTCTCGTCGTCTCCATCATCAATACCACCACCATCCTCATCAACATCATCAAAACACCCCCTTGTTCCCCCGCGTCTCTGCTTCGCCACATCCCCCGCAAGTCTCGTGGCCTTGTGAGGTGTTCCACCGAAGGCCCCATCGGCAGGGGTCCTTAGTGCGCCGCCCAGCCCATGTCGGCACGCCCCTCAGACGCTTCGTGTCCCCATGAGGAGTGCATCGGAGGTCCCGGCGGCAAGGTCCACATGCCGTCGCCCAGGCCACATTGACACACCCTCAGACATTTCGTGCCCCCATAGGCAGCTCCACCCAAAAAAGGTCCCAGCGGCAGGTTTCCCAGGCCGCCGCCCAGCATATTTCGTCATACGTTTCGCACGTTCCGTGGCCCCACGGGGAGCTGCACCGACGGCCCCACAGGCAGGGCCCACAGGCCGCCTCCCAGCCCATTCCGTCATACGCTCACACGCTTCGTGGCCCCATTGGGGAGCACCCCCGATGGCCCAAGCGACAGGGTCCACATGCCGTCGCCCAGCCCATGTCGTCCACGAGTGGCGCCCAGCACGGCTCCAAAAGCGCCCCAAGAGGCGCCGAGTAAGTTGCACCCTCATGCAAGTAGTTTTTGTCACTTGTGGGGGTCCTCTTGGGGCCCTCTTGGAGCATTCTTGGGGCCCTCTGGGAGCGTTTTTGGGGCCTTCCCGGGGCCCCAGTGGGCCCCCGGAGGGCCCCGAGAACGTTCCCCGAGGGCCCCAAGAGGGACCCCCCAAAGTGGTACAAAGAATTCGTGCGAACGGGCAATCTGTTGTAGGCCTTTCGGGGCCCTCTGGGAGCTCTCTTGGGGCCCCCATTGGTGGCGCCTTGGGGCCTTGGGATGGCTCCAAGAGGCTTCGGGATTGCCCCAGACCGCCACAAGACAGCTCCGAGACGGCCGTCGAGCACCACGGGTGAAAGCAAGTGAGGCTAGGGAACAGGGCCTCTGGTAAGCCGCCACTGCGCCCCCTGGACTACCCAGACAGCGAGGGGACCTGAAACGCCCTGGGGCTCCAGGGGCCCCAGATTAGTGAAGTGAAGGTTTTTGCCATGCAAGCACCCCGAAATTCTTCACTTCACTAAACCGGACCCAGGACGAACTCGCTACGCTCCAGTCCCGCGGGAGATCCGAGACTCCCGCCGCCGCCCGGGGACGCTGCTGCATTGCGGTGCTCTGGTCACTGTTAATGGCTTCCGCGGGCTGCAGCGGCTCACTTCCATGACTACCCCGACTCACGAATCCAGTGGTTGGTCTGGCTCTATGGGTTGGTTTCGTTGTGTCGGTTGATTTTATGCTTGGTTGGCGGTCGGTGGATTTCGCGTTGTTCATTGGTGTCGTGAAGTGATTTGTCGTTTGGTTGGTCAGTGCCGTTTTGTTGATTCGTGCCGTTTTGTTGGTTGGTGTCGTTTCGTTGGTTGGTGTCGTTTTGTTGCTTGGTGTCGTTTTGTTGCTTGGTGTCCTTTTGTTGGTCGGTGTCGATTTGTTGGTTTGTTGGTTGGTGTCGTTTTGTTGGTTGGTGTCGTTTTGTTGCTTGGCGTCGTCCTGGCGGCGTGGCCGATAATCGTCGGCCTGCAATGGCGCCAGGATTTGTTTCGGGCCAGCCTTGATCGCCCTCATCATTCTCATATTCGTCAGCGTCAGCACTCGTCGCCCCCATCCGCGCACACATGCGGCCCTGGTACGGCTCTCACGCGGCCCTGCGAAGGCCTTCACTGTGCTCCCCAAAGCTTTCTGAGGGGCCCCCCAGAGGCCCCAAGAGGGCACTGCAAATTGTCGCTTCCAACTCCGCCAGGCGGAGGTCAACAAGGGTCTCACTGGTGCACTTCCAGGAATCGTTGTTCGATCCTCTTGGGGCCCTCCTGGGGCCTTCTGGAGCCGTCTTGGAAGCTCCGAGCGGCTCCATGAAGGCGCCGGTCGATATCGCTTCCAATTCCGCCAGGTGGAGTTAGACCAGGGGCTCACTGAGGCCTCTTTTTGCGCCCTCCTCTGCTTTTGAAAAAGCCCCGATGGGGTTCTTCAGTGCCGTCTTAGGGCCCCTAAGAGGCCTCCAGTAGGGTATTGAAGTTATCGCTTCCAACTCCGCCACGCGGAGTTGAACCCAGGGCGGCTCTCTGTGGCCCTTTCGGGGCCTTCTTAGAGCTTTTCTGAGGCCCTAAGTGGGCCCTGGGAGGTGTCATTTTCACGGGAGTTGAAAGTGACACCGCGGAGGGCCCTCTTGGGCCCTTCTTGGGGCCTCTCTTGGGTCCCTCTGGGGGCCCTCTTGGTGCCGCCCTGGGGCCTTCTCGGGGCCTTCTTGGAGCCTTTCTGGTGCTCTTTAAGTGGGCCCTGGGAGGTGTCACTTTCAGGGGCGCTGAAAGTGACACCTCGAAGGGCCCGCTTTCCCTCGTAGCGCTGCCCGTGGCCGGGGCATTGTGCAGCGCATCCCTCGTCGAACGCATTTTGTCGGACGCGTGGTCGAATTCCGCCAGTTCGGTCGAGATGGTGGTCAAGCGGTTCGGTTGCAATGTAGCCATGCGGATCTGAACTTACCATTTCTTGCCATTTTGGCGGGGGTTCGCAGGAGCGTTTGTGTTGTGATCAACTGTGCTCGATATATCCAGCGGCAGGGCTTCATCCCAATATACTATTTTGAAAAAGTCAGCAGGGGCCAAATTGGTGATGTGAAGCAACATAGGTCTCGTATCAGAGTGTCCTGGAACGCTCTGAGAAGGCCGCCGCCAGATCGACGAGGTTCTCGATTTACCCTCGCCCGAAATGTTACTCGTCTTGGCCTCGTCTCCCATCCCCAGCCCCGCACGCAGGGAATTGGCAACACCCACGCTCTGGCGATGATGTTTTTTGCTCGGCCAAGACTCTGCAACCTTGGCTGCACCCTTGCTTGCTCAGCGAGTTCGAGCAAAACACCATTCTACAGAGATGCCCTGCCGACCGTTGACGCTTTGGCACTGATGCCAAGAAGACAATGCAAGACAATGCATCCACCAACCAGCCCCAACCAACCAATCATAATCGAGTCGCAGTGCATATCATGCGCAAGCCGCAGGACGCTGGAGCCGCGCAGCGAGGCGAGCCGCCGCCGGAGCCCCCGCTGGCGCTGCTGGCCTCCCCGCAGGTGTGGCGGGCCGTCTGCCTGCTCGAGGTGGTGTCCGTCCAGTGGATACCGCTCTGCCCGTGGGCGCGGACGCAGCAGGCGCCACCGGCGACGACGACGACGACGGCGGACGGCGGACGGCGACGACGGACGGCGGACGACGACGACGGCGGACGACGGCGACGACAGCCGACGGACGGCGGACGACGACGACGACGACCGACGGCGAACGACGACAACGACGGACAGCGGACGACGATGACGACGACAACGACGACGGCGACGACGGCGGACAGCAACGGTCGGCGGCGGACGACGACGACGACGAAGACGGCGATGACGACGACGACGACGACGACGACGGACGACGACGACGACGACGACGGACGACGACGACGTACGGCGGACGACGGACGGCGGACGACGGACGGCGGACGACGACGACGACGGATGGCGACAACGACGGACAGCGGACGACGACGACGACGTCGATGACGACGACGACAACGACGACCGACGGCGAACGACGACAACGACGGACAGCGGACGACGACGACGACGGTGACGACGACGACGGCGACGACGGCGACGACGAGGACGACGACGGACGGCGGCCGACGACGACGACGACGACGGACGGCGGAGGACGGACGGCGGACGACGACGACGACGGACGACGACGACGGACGGCGGACGGCGACGACGACGGCGGACGACGACGGACGACGACGACGGCGACGACCACGACGACGACGACGACGACGACGACGACGACGGACGACGGACGACGACGACGGCGGACAGCGAACGACGACAACGACGGACAGCGGACGACGATGACGACGACAACGACGACGGCGACGGTGGCGGACGGCGACGGTCGGCGGACGACGACGACGGCGACGGCGATGACGACGACGACGACGACGGACGTTGGACGACGACGACGACGACGGACGACGACGACGGAAAGCGGACGACGGACGGCGGGCGACGGACGGCGGACGACGCTTACCACGGATGGCGACAGCGACGGACAGCGGACGACGACGTCGACGATTACGACGACGACGACGACCGACCGCGAACGACGACAACGACGGACAGCGGACGACGACGACGACGATGACGACGACGACGGCGACGACGGCGACGACGAGGACGACGATGGACGGCGGACGACGGCGACGACGACGACGGACGGCGGACGACGGCGACGACGGCGGACGACGATGGGCGGCGGACGACGACGACGACGACAGACGACGGCGATGACGACGACGACGACGTCAGACGTGGGACGACGACGAAGACGGACGGCGGACAACGACGATGACCGACGGCGAACGACAACAACGACGGACAGCGGACGACGACGACGACGACGACGACAACGACGGCGACGACGACGACGACGGTGACGACGACGACGGACGGCGGACGACGACGGACGGCGGACGACGGTCGGTGGAAGACGGCGACGACGGACGGCGACGACGACGAACGGCGACAACGACGACGACGACGAAGACGGAGGGCGGACGACGACGACGACGGCGGACGACGACAGACGACGACAACGACGACGACGACGACGACGACGACGACGGACGGCGGACGACACGACTACGACCGACGGTCAACGACGACAACGACGGACAGCGGATGACGATGACGACGACAACGATGACGGCGACGACGGTGGACGACGACGGTCGGCGGACGACGACGACGACGACGACGGCGATGACGACGACGACGACGACGACGACGACGGACGTTGGACGACGACGACAATGGACGACGACGACGGACTGCGGACGACCGTTGGCGACGGCTGACGACGACGGACGACGACGACGACGACGGCGACGACGACGACACCGACGACGACGACGACGACGGCGGACGACGACGACGACCGACGGCGACAACGACAACGATGGACAGCGTTCGACGACGACGACGACGACGACCGCGACGGACGGTGGACGACGACGACGACGACGTATGGCGGACGACGGACGGTGGACGACGACGACGACAGACGGCGACAACGACGACGACGACGACGACGGACGGCGGACGACGACGACGACGGCGGATGACGACAGACGACGACGACGACGACGACGACGACGACGACGACGACGACCGATGGCGGCGGCGACGGTGACGGACGGCGGACGACGACGACGACGACGACGACGACGGCGGTGGACGACGACGGCGACGACAACGACGACGACGACGAAGGCCGACGGCGGACTACGACCGACGGCGAACGACGATAACGACGGACGGCGGGATATGACGACGACGACGATGACGACGACGAACGACGGACGACGGCGACGATCGACGGCGACGAACGACGACGACAACGGCGTCGGCGACGGACGGCGGACCGCGACGACGACGACGGCGACGATGACGACGACGACGACGACGACGGACGGTCGACGGACGACGACGACGACGACGACGATGTCGGACGACGACGGGCGACGACAACGACGACGACGACGACAACGACGACGGACGGTGGACGACGACGACGAAGGGCGGCGAACGACGACAACGTCGGACAGCGGACGACGACGACGACGACGACGACGACGACGACGACGACGACGACGACGGACGGTGGACGATGACGACGGCGACGACGACGACAAGGGTGGACGGCGGACGACGACGTCGACGGACGGCGGGCGGCGGACGACGACGACGGCTGACGGCGACAACGACGACCACAAAGGCTGCCGGACGGACTACGACAACGACGACACGGACGGAGGGAGGGCAGACGACGACAGACTACGACATTGACGACGACGGCGACGGCGACGTTCACGACAACGACGACGACGACGACGGCCAGCGGACGACGACGACGACGGACGACGACGACGGACGGCGGACGACGACGACGACGGCGGAAGACGACGGACGACGACAACGACGACGACGACGACGGACGGCGGACGACGACGGATGACGGTGGACGACGACAACGACGTACAGCGGACGACGACGATGGACGGTGGACGACGAAGACAACGACGACGACGACTGACGGCGGACGACGACGACGGCGACGACGACGAACGACGACGACGACGGCGACGGTGACGGACTGCGGACGACGACGACGACGACGACGACGGCAACGACGACGACGACGACGACGACGACGACGACGGCCGTCGGACGACGTTGACGCCGGACGACGTCGATGGACGGCAGACGACGACGACGACGACGACGACGACGGCGACGATGACGACGACGACGACGACGACGGACGGTCGACGGACGACGACGACGGACGGCGGACGACGACGACGACGACGACGATGTCGGACGACGACGGACGACGACAACGACGACGACGACGACGACGACGTCGACGGACAGGTGACGACGACGACGACCGACGGCGGACGACGACAACGGTGGTCAGCGGACGACGTCGAAGGACGGCGGACGACGACGGTGACGGACGACGACGACTGACGGCGGCGACGACGACTAACGACGACGACGACGACGACGACGTCGATGGACGGCGGACGACGACGACGACGGACCGCGAACGACGACAACGACGGACAGCGGACGACGACGGCGACGGCAACAACGGCGACGACGGACGGCGGACGACGACGACGACGACGACGACGGCGGACGACGACGGACGACGACAACGACGACGACGACGACGACGACGGTGGACGGCGGACGACGACGACGACCGACGGCGGACGACGACAACGGCGGACAGCGGACGACGACGATGGACGGCGGACGACGACGGCGACGGACGACGACGACTGACGGCGGCGACAACGACGACGACGAACGACGACGGACGACGACAACGACGACGACGACGTCGATGGACGGCGGACGACGACGATGACGGACCGCGAACGACGACAACGACGGACAGCTGACGACGGCGATGACGACGACGACGACGGCGAAGGCGACAGACGGCAGACGACGACGACGGCGACGACCACGACGACAACGACGGACGACGGGCGACAACAACGGACGATGAAGACGACGGACGGCGGACGACGACGACGACGACGACGAGGACGACGACTACGACGACGGACGGCGGACGACGACGACGACAACGACGGACCGCGAACGACGACAACGAGGGACAGTGGACGACGACGGCGACGGCGACGACGACGACGACGGACGGCGGACGACGACGACTACGACGACGACGACGGCGACCACGACCACGACCGACGACGACAACGGACGGCGGACGACGACGACGACGGACGACGGCAGACGACGACGACGACGACGACGACAACGAGTACAACGCCGACGACCACGACGACGACGACGGACGGCGGACGACGACGACAATCGTCGGTGAACGTTGACAACGACGGACAGCGGACGACGACGATGACGACGACGACGACGGCGATGGCGACGGACAGCGGACGACGACGAGCACGAAGACGACAACGACGACGATGGATGGCGGACGACGACGACGACGGCGGACAACGACGACGACGACGACGACGGACGACGACGACGGACGGCGGACGACGACGACGACGGACGGCGGACGACGACGACAACGACGACAACGCCGACGACAACGACGACGACGACGGCGACGACGAGGACGACGACAACGGGCGACGACGACGACCGAGGGCGAACGACGACAACGACGGACAGCGGACGACGATGACGGACGTTGACGACGACGACGACGGCGACGGCGACGGACTGCGGACGACGACGACGACGACTACGACGACGACGACGACGACCACGGACGGCGGACGACGACGACGACGATGGACGACGGACGGTGGACGACGCCGACGACGACGACGACGACAGCGACGGACGGCGGACGACGACGATGACGACGTCGGCGGCGACGAGAACAACGGACCGCGGACGATGGCGACGAAGACGACGACGACGGCGATGGCGACGGCAACGGACGGCAGACGATGACGACGACGCGACGGCGACGACGACGGCGACGGCAACGACGACGCCGACGGACGACGACGACGACGACGGACGTTGGACGACGACAACGACGACGACGGACGGCGGATGACGACGAGGGACGGCGGACGACGACGACGACGACGGACGGCGGACGACGACAACGACGGACGGCGGACGACGACTGCGAAGACGACGGCGGCGACGGACGGGGTTCGACGACGACGTATGGCGGACGACTACTACGACGACGACGACGGACAGCGGACGACGACGACGACGGACGGGGAACGACGGCGACTTCGACAACGACGACGACGACAGCGGTCGGCGGACGACGACGACGATGGCGGCCGACGACGCCGACGGCGGACGACGATGACGACGACGACGGACGACGACGACGGACGACGACGACGACGATGGAGGGCGGACGAGGACGACGACCGACGGCAGACGACGACGACGCCGACGACGACGTCCACGACGACGACGACCACGGCGGACGACGACGACGACGGACGGTGGACGACGATGACGACGACGGCGGACGACGACGACGACGACGACGACGACGACGACGACGGACGGCTGACGACGACGACAACGACGACGGACGGATTGTGGACGACAACAACGACGGACAGCGGACGCCGACGATGACGACGACAAAAGCGGCGGACGACAGCCGACGACGACGACGATGACGATTACGACGACGGACGGTGGGTGACGACGACGAGGTCGGACTGCGGACGACGACGACGACGACGACGACGACGGCGACGACGACGACGACGACGGCGGCGGCGACGGCGACGGACGGAGGACGGCGGAAGACGACGACGACGACGGCGGATGACGACGACGAGGGACGGCGGACGACGACGACGACGACGGATGACGGACGACGGCGACGACAACGACGGACGGCTGACGAAAACGACGACGATGACGACGACGACGACGACGGACGGCGGACGACGACGACGACGACGGTTGGCGGGCGACGACCACGACGACGGCGACAACGACGGACGGCGACAGACGACGACGACGATGACGACGACGACGACGACGACGACGACGGCGACGACGACGGCGGCGGCGACGACGACGACGGACGGCGGATGACGACGACGACGACGACGGCGACGACGACAGACGGACGAGGACGACCACGATTGACGGCGGACAACGACGACGACGACGACGACGATGAAGACGACGACGACGCCGACGACGACGACGGGGATTGACGGCGGACGACGATGACGACGACGACGGCGACGGACGGCGGACGACGTCCACGACGGACGGCGGACGACGAACGGCGGACGACGACGACTACGACGACGACGACGACGACGACGACGACGACGACGACGACGACGACGGCGACGGCGACGGCGACGGCGACGACGGACGGCGGACTACGACACCGTCGACGGCGTTCGACGTCAACGACTGCCAGTGGACGACGACGACGACGACGACGACGACGACGACGGGCGATGGATTGCAGACGACGACAACGACGACGACGCCGACCACGACGACGACGACGGACGGCGGACGAGATGGCCCAGGCTTGCCTCCCATAAGATCCCAGGATTCCTCCAATACGGCCAAGATGCCCCTAGAGAGCCCAAGATGGCCCATAAGATGGCTCCAAGACGGCTCAAGATGGCCAGTGCAACATGGCTTCGAGATGGCCCAAGCGGACCCCGAGACGCCACAAGAGAGCTGCAAAAGGATCTCCAGGAGGCCCCCAGTAGGCCAACATCGGTGACCCTCGTTGTTCCCAACCAACCTGTGGTGTTGGGTCCTTGATTTGAAGAGAGAGGGCCCCGCGTCCCTCCTCTCCTCCTCCCCCTCCTCCTCTCCCGCCTACCTCCTCCATCTGCCTCGTCACCTCCCTGCTTTTCACCCATCCAATACAGCGCTTCGTGGCCCCGTAGGGGGCTCCACCGAAGGCTCCAGTGGCAGGGTCCACGTGAGCCAACGCCACCCAGGACAGCGCTTCGTGGCACCATAGGGAGCTCCACCGAAGGCTCCGCATGCGTCAACGCCACAAATGACAGGACAGCGTTTCATGGTCCCATAGAGAGATCCACCGAAGGCTCCAGTGGCAGGGTCCGCATGCGTCAACGCCACCCAGGACAGCGCTTCGTGGCCCCATAGGGAGCTCCAACGAAGGCTCCAGTGGCAGGGTCCGCATGCGTCAACGCCACCCAGGACAGCGTTTCGTGGCCCCATAGAGAGATCCATCGAAGGCTCCAGTGGCAGGGTCCGCGTGCGTCAACGCCACCCAGGAACGCGCTTCGTGGCCCCATAGGGAGCTCCACCGAAGGCTCCATTGGCAGGGTCCGCATGCGTCTCTCCCATCCAGGACAGCGTTTCGTGGCCCCATAGGGAGCTCCACTGAAGGCCCCAGTGGCGGTGTCCACATGCGTCCGCGCGACCGATTTCGGCGCAGCCCTCGCACGTTTCTTGGCCCACTAGGGAGCTCCAACGAAAGCGGTACCCACAATGCGGCACTCGCAGCTGCGTATGGTTGGGTCCTTCGTCAGGCTAATTGAATGTTTTCGCGTTCTGTTTATTCTGGCTTCCGAGACGGCCCAAAAGGCTTCCAAGATCTCCCCAGGAGGCTCCCAAGAGGGCTCCAAGGCGGCCCCAAAACGACCCCAAGACAACCCCAAGATCCAAGAGGGCCCCCAGGCGGCCTAACAGAGCCCCAAGATGACCTTCACAATCGCAGAGAGATAGAGATAGGTCCCCGAGACAGCTTCCGACGTGGCCCGACGGACCGAGAGAGCACGCTAAGACAGCTTTAATAGGGCCACGAGGTGGCCCAGGAGAGCCCCCAAGAACGCCCAAGTTGCCAGAGAAGAGCTCCAGGATAACCCCAAGATGACCCCAGAGGGCTCCTCCCCGGTGTTCCCCTAGTGGTTTCCCCAAGAGCTGGGGGATCACACAGTTCACTAGCATGGCAACACTTTCGCTGGAGACGTCACCACAGGCGTTTCCGGAGGGCAGGGGGCGGTGGTGAATCGGCGCAGGCGTTTTCGAGGATAGAAAACCACATGAACATAAGCCTTCTGCAGGTCCGCGCCAGTTTCTTGGGTTGGCGCTGGAGTTCTCCGGGATCCAGCGCTGTTCCAAGAAATCCGCGCGGACCTCGGAAAGTGTTCGTTTGTGTCACTGCTTGTTTTCCTGAGTCGACCTCCCACGGCTCCGGCTTCATCGTCGCCGGCCGTTGCATCATGACCAACGCGCATGTTGTGGCCAACGCGATCGACATCCGGGTCCGGCCGCACGGTTCCGCCAAGCGCTTTGCGGGGAGAGTGAGGACGTTCGGTCCCGACGTGGATCTGGCGCTCGTCGAGATCCACCCCACCGTCGAGGACGACTTCTGGGCTCTCGTCGCGCACGTGGAGCCTGTGGAGCTTTCCGATAGCCTGCCGTCCCTCCAGGAAACAGTGCAGGCCCTTGGCTTTCCAACTGGTGGCCGCACCATCTGCGTCACAGAGGGGGTCGTCTCTCGCATCGACTCCATAGACTTGACCCCGCCTGCGGATACCTCTCTGGTCATACAGATCGACGCGGCGATCAATCCAGGCAGTAGCGGTGGGCCTGTGCTCAACTCCCGCGGACTGGCGACCGGCGTGGCCTTCTGCAAAGACAGTCGCAGCTCGTCCGACAACATTGGCTACGTGATTCCTTCCCAAGTGGTGCGCACGTTTTTGGCGCGTTGTGAGCAGGAGGACGGATACACGCTCTCGCCTTCTGTGCCGTACAGGTGGCACAAGTTGGAAAACCAATCTCTCCGTGCTGCGCACAACGTGCCAGAAGGCGTCTCGGGCGTGCTGTTGACAAGCGTATCGCCGCTGGTCAAATCCAGCCTGCGGTGCGGTGACGTGCTCACAAAGATCGACGGTCGCAGGATCGCTGACGACGGTCAGATTGTGCTGCGCGGCAGCGAGCTCATCCAGCACAGGTACCTGATCAGAAACAAGCGCGTCGGGGAGCCCACGGTGTTCACCGTGTTCCGCGACGGGGCCCAGGTGGAGACGCCTGCGGTGGAGCTGGTAGACCTCCCACCCATCTGCCCGCGGTGGCCAGAGGTGGACTACTTCCCGGAGTACCTCATCCTGGGGGCCCTTGCGCTGGTGCCGCTGGCGCAGGGCCACCACTGGTACAAGGATCGGCGTCGTCCAAGCATGCGTTTGCCGTGTTTGCGTCGGTCCCTCAGGGGCGACGCGCGCGTTCAGAAATCGGGTAAGATGTGGTAGGCGGCGGGCGCTCTCTAGCCAGACCGCTCGAGCAACGATGCACTGTCGAAGACGCCTACGGCGAATCACCGCCGCCCCCTGCGTCGTAGGATGCGCCTGTGTGGCCAAGCGTTTAGGCCAAGTTTGGCCACGCTCATGGACCATGCGTTCCCCAGCCGTTGTGGAAGTCCTTCGGGGAACACGTGGGCGACGACGATGACGACGGCGACGACCGACGATCGACGCCGACGACGACGACGACGCCGACGACGACGCCGACGACGACGCCGCCGACGACGACGACGACGACGACGACGACGATCGACGACGACGACGACGACGATGCCGCCGCCGCTGACGGCGACGGTGACGACGACGACGACGACGACGACGGCGACAAGGAGGAGGAGGAGAAGGCTGAGGAGCCCCAGGGAGCTTCTTGGGTCACTCTTGGGCCACCTGGGAGCCTCCTGGGAACTTCCCGAGGCCCTTTTGGAGGCCTGTTGGGGGCCCTCGAGGGCTTCTTGGGGGCCTCTTTGACCGGCTTAGGGCGTTCCTGGTCCGTCTGTCGCCGTCGGGAGCCGTCTTGGGGAATTCTCTGGACCGTCTTCGCAGGGTGCTTCAAGGCCGTCTTGGACGCCATCTCGGGCGTCTGGGAGGCCTCTTGGACCGTCTTGGAGCCTTGTTGGGGCCGTCTTGAGGGCCTCTTGGGCCGTTATGGGGCCATCTTGGAGGCCTATTGGACGATCTTGGGTCGATCTTGGATGGCTCTTGGGCCGTCTCGGGCCGTCAGAAGGCCGAAAAGAAGCAACTGCCAAACTCCGTCAAAAAGCTTAGGGAAAACAAGGACTTTGGCCTCTTCGGGCTTCCTGGAGGATCTCTTGGATGACCCTTGGTCCGTCTCGACACCATACGGGGTGCGCAGGAGGTAATCTCTAAGCGCAACCGCTATCCGTCACGGTCGCCCAGGGCATAACAGGCGTGGCACATTCTCTACACCGTAAGGGGTGCGCAGGGGGTGGTCTCTGAGCGCGGCCGCTATCCGCCGCAGCTGTCCAGGGCGTAGGAGGCATTGTATATCCTCAACACCGTTGGGGTTGTGCAGGGGGGGTCTCTGAGCGCGGCAGTTATCAGTCGCGACCGTCCAGGGCATAGCATGCGGTGTATATGCTCGACACCGTAGGGGGTGCGCAGGGGGTGGTCTCTGAGCGCGGCCGCTATCTGTCACGGTCGTCCAGGGCATAACAGACGTGGCAGATTCACGCCACCACACGGGGTGTGCAGGGAGGGGTATCTGAGCGCGGCCGCTATCCGTCACGGTCGTCCAGGGCATAGCAGGCGTGGCATATTCCCGTCACCACACGGGGTGTGCAGGGGGGGTCTCTGAGCGCGGCCGCTATCCGTCACGGCCGTCCAGGGGATAGCAAGCGTGGCATATTCTCGACACCATAGGGGGTGCGCAGGGGGTGGTCTCTGAGCGCGGCCGCTATCCATCACGGTCGCCTGGGGCTTAGCACGCGTAGCTTTTTCTCGACACCGTAGGAGTTGCGCAAGGGATGGTCCCTCAGCGCGGCCGCTACGCGCCTGCGAATATGATGCTGGTGGCCGTTGCCCCGCCGACACCGTTGGTGACGCCGATGCCAAAGAAGGGTCCAGTAAGTACCTCTCTTTGCATCGTCAGCGCCTCCTTTACGCGGCAACTATTTGTAAATAGCGTCTCAGGCCACCAGTTCATCAGCCGTCGGTGGTAAGCATGAAATGCGCATTGTACCAAAACGTTCCCATGCCTGACGACATATCCGCGCATAGCATCCAGGTTCACCTCGGCGCCCATATCGAGCATTGAATTCTTGAGCTGCTCGCACGGCGGTGGCAGCGCGGACATGGCGCATTTTGGAGCCATGGCGGGGACCTCACCTTTGACGGAGAGCCCGCGTTCACCTATCCAGCGGTAGGGGCGCCATTTCCGATGCCATTCAGTGCTTGGCACCCGGGGGGGGGTCGCTGCTCGGGAGCCGTGGACAAGGAAGGGGAGGGGGCGCCATTTCCGAGGCCATTCAGTGCTCGGGACCCAGGGCGGGGTTCGCTGCTCGGGAGCCGTGGACAAGGAAGGGGGCGGGGAACGCCATTTCCGACGCCAGTCAGTTTTACTTCAGCTATCATCACCCCAGTCGTAGTATAAGTATGTGGGGCTCCTCGGTCGCGTAATTGTATGACGTGGCATTGGGAGGGCCCTGTGACACTGAGCAGTCGATCTCACGCCCTCGTACAGTTTTGTGGAAGATGATCGCAGAGCTGCTGGAAGTGGAAGGGGGAAGGAACAGTTGGGGCATACTGACACATACTGGACATCCTGGAGTGTGCGCTGATTGGGTGTGTCTTCTTGGACCCCTGTATTCGATGCTCGTTTCGGGGACCTTCTTGGAGCCCACCTAACGGATCTGTTCGACCCCAGTTCGACTCAAGTTCGATTCAAGTTCGACTCAAGTTCGACTCAGGTTCGACTCAGGGTCGACCCAACTCGACTGACGTTCGACGCAGCTTCGACGCACGAGTGGAGCGAGCATCCAACCTGTAGGAGTGCCCCTCGGAGCTGAAGGCCACGATCGACCGCTGGCGCCGCCGCTGGCCGGGCGAGCGGGACGGCAAGGACCACCCGGGGCCGGAAAAGCCTCTGCGCGCTCCTGCCCTCTCCGCTCGCTCGCTCGCTCGCTCCTCCCCTCGAGGCCTCGTTTGCGTGGCCTGCGCTCCAGAACTCGGGGGAGAAAAAGATACGGATACGTGTTGTCCACCTTTGTTTTCGGCCTTTCCTGGTCCTCCTGGGGAATCCTCGTTGTCACCGCTGGATTCGCTTCGAAATTCTGGTCAGAGCGCACCCCAAGAGAGGTCCGGGGACAACACGTATCCGTATCTTTCCGCCCCCCAAAGAACTGGGCTGGCGGGCCTGGGGAAATGGTCCTCGCCCTCGGCCGTCTCGAGCACCGCGTCGTGAAGAAGCCGGGGGGGGGGGGGAGGGGAGCCACGGTGGGGGGGGCCGTGGGTTCCTCTTCCTTCCCCACCGCGTGGCGGCGAGGTCCAGAGCCTGTTCCCGCCTCGCATCGGTGCACGAGAACCGATGGTCGGTGAGGGTCGGGTTCGGATGCCCCCCCCCCGAACGCTTCATTTCAGAATGTAAATCCTGGGGGATTAGATGCGGCATCGTCGCTGGCATATCCGTTCTCGAAAACCAGCCTAATCGGGCATAGTCCGTTGCCTCGTCCCGCTCGAGTTTCCTCAATCGGGCTTCATCCCGGACATAATCTAGCCTAGTTCATCGTTTTGGCCCTCGGGCTTAATAGGTTTTTTGCGCAGACTTCCAAGGCGTTGCTTCCTCTATGTTCGCCCCGCCATGTCCTGGGTGACAGGGGGTCCACGGTTTGGTCGATTCGGCTGCGTCGCAGTCGCTTTCGTTCGATCGGTCGGTGGCTGTGTCGCTGCTGCGCCGATGCGTCCTTCTAGGCTGCTTGCGGCCAGTCCGTTTCGGTCGGTTTCGGCTTCGCTGCTGGTTCGGTTGGTTTTCGGTTTGCGGTTGTAGGGATTGTCGCGATGGACGGCTTTGGTCGTCCCCCCCTACCTCATCGCCCCGCCGCTTCTTGAGTGAGAGGGGGCGTCGCGTGTGGCTCGCTCAGGACCAACTGGTCCTCCTTGTCACCGTGTTCGCGCACGAGCTGACCTTCGGCTACCAGCGCGGCTGGCGCGTCTGCGAGAGCTACAACGGCGAGCCGGTGACCTCGCTGCGGCACCTCCGGTCCATGTGGCTTGCCACGCGGGAGAAGGTCAACGAGGCACGCGCGGCTACGGCCGCGGCAGAGGGGGGCGGCCAGCCAACTCCTCCGGGCATCTTCGTGCGGATCGGGCTCCAGAGCGACGACGACGTCGTGCTGGACGCCGCCGCGGCGATGGAGGCCGAGGAGAAGGTCTTGAAAACGCACGCCATCGAGCGCCGCTCCTACATCAAGGGGGACGACGACTAGAATTGTCTAGCTCCGTTTCCCGCTGGGCCCGAGATTGGCCTCGCCGTGAGCTTCCTGCCCAGCGGGTGAGTGGCCCGGGGGACCCCCGAAAGTTGTGGGCAGCACCCTACTCAGTTATAGCAGTTTTTGCCTGTCCTGCCCCCCTTGGAAAATAAGTGCTTGCTTGCGGATGGCGGGCGCGAGGCGCAGACGGGTACGGGTTCGTGATATATCACTGCGCAAGATTCTGGCAAAACGGTTTGGCGCATCTGCATCTGATGACTTTCTCGTCGCTGCAGCTCGAGTCGAGCTGAGACGCTGGCTAGCGGATTCCAGTTAAGGAGCTCAGGATCAACGCCAGCAGCGGGCATCCGTCAGGGGCAGCGAAACGCGGGCGTTGTTGTTCATTCCGCCAGCCTAGGCTGCGAAATATCTGTGATGACCGAATCATTCACATACATAAGACAGCGATCGTTCGCTGCAGATCCGATTGCTCACATCGTGTATGGGGGGCGCGCAGGGTTTCGCCCGTGGGCTCGAGTGCCATAGCCTACTCGAGACTCGTGCCTCGTCACCAACTTGAGGTGGCCTGAAGCACAGCTCGTGTGGGCTGCCCCAGCAGCACTTCGCCCGGCTCCTCTCTCTTGCAAGGATGCCTCCGCCCCCCCCCGCGGCCTCCGAGGGCTGCCGCTCAGGCCTGCGCGCCAACGCTCCACGGTCCGTGGCCTCCCGCGCCACCCTGCTCCCCAGCGGCCTGTCGAAGCTCGGCGCCTGGGCAGCGTGTCACGCTTGGCCGGCCTGCCCCGGCAAGCCTGGATCCAATCCTCTTCCGCCTCCTCCTCCTCTTCCTCCTCTTCCTCCTCCTCCTCCTCCTCCTCGTCCTCCTTCTCGTCGTCCTCCTCCTCCTCCTCCTCCTCTTCCTCCTCCTCCTCTTCGCATGTTGAAGTATGGCCTTCCGTTCGCCACGCTTCGCGCTGGCTTTCCGCTGGCGGGCCCGCCGCCGTTCCTTTCCCGCCACCCTCCGCTGGCGTCCGCTGGCCTCGGCCGATGGCGGCGAACTGGCGCCTATCTGGGCCTCCTTCCTTGGCCGGAGTCCCCGGGTCTCCGCGGGCTGCTGCAGCCCCCGCGTTGCAGAGCAGGCCGAGTCGAGACGGCGGTAAGTTGGCCTCTCGGGGGCCCCCTCGTCGCCACGGCAGGGCGCAGCTCGGAAAAGCGGTGCGCCTGGACTCCCCAGATTTCGGGCGGATTGATTTGTCCAGTCTTGGCGTCGTTCCTTCGTGTCGGCTTCTTGGGTCCGCGCTCGGGCCCCAGGACCCTCGAACACGAGCCCGGAACGGCGAACGACCCTTGGGGAGGTGGTCGAGACTTCTGGGGACCGCGGATTGAAAAGAGCAACCCATCGGATCTCTAGGCCCGGGAGGAGTCAAGGGACCGATTCTGAGCTGCCGCTGCTGCACCTCGCCTTGATCCCAGCGTGCCGGTGTGCCGCAAGGCTCGCCGCCCGCGGTCGGCCTTGGACCCTTGCGGTGTGCGTCTCGCGCCCTCGCGGTGTGCGTCCTGGTGCTGATGTCGGCGACGCGTCGGAGAACCTCGATTCGCGGATCTCTTGCTGTGCCGCACTCGGTACGGTTGGGCTGTCTTGACGCTGCCATCGATCCCTAAAGGTGGGCAGGTGTGTGCGCATACACATGAAGCAGGGTATACTGGTGCGGAGCGTGGTCTTGCACCCCACAAACGAGACAAGAGGGGCCGACGAGCTTCCAAGAGCTCGAACTCCGCCCTGCCCGAAACTGCCGGTGCGGCTGGCCAGAAGCTGAGCGCGTCGCCCGCCTCGGCGTCGAGGTGATGAGCGCGCACGGCAACGCACGGAGTCGCCGGAGGTTTCCTCTGCCTCGGGGTGCAGCCCGGCAGCTGCCTCGCCAGTAGTTCTTGTGAAAGGAAGTATTGTGCCAGGGCTGATGGGCTTGTTTTCCACCACCACCATACGTTGGAGGGGGGAAGGAGGTGGAGGAGGATGAGGAGGAGGAGGAGGAAGAGGAGGAGAGGAGGAGGACCCTCTCCCCCTCCTACTTATGGTGGTGGTGGACAACAGGCCCATCAAGGGCTCGAACATATCATTCGTAACGTTGGACACTTCCAACCCCATCGTGCGCTGTGGCCCTCAACATCGTTTCGTCTAAGCCAGGGTAGGACGCAGCAAATTGTAACGTCACGAAGTGCGCAACTGTTGCCCCGATGTGTGACGCATATTCCTGCAGCGTTCCTAGCGATAGTATCTTCGTTTCGTCCTGGCCAGGCTGGGACTGACAAGTATGCACGCTAGGAGGGGTGTACTTGTTGATCCAAGTTGCAGTGAATCTCCCCAGAACGTCATATCTGGAAATCAGGTGAGCCTCCCGAATAGGATTAGGTCGGGCATGTTCTCCTACAGGCGGATTTTCGACGGAAGCTAAAACAATACCACACAAATATTCCAAAATACGCAAAACATAGTCGAACATCGTCCCCATATTGTTTGTTTACTATTTTTGAATCTTCCTCCTGCAGGGGGACACGCCCGACCTGAGAATAGGAGGGCTGCATTCAGGAGTCACCAGTCGTCCGAGAGCGTCGCTGCCGGAGATCCGACAGAAGTGCTCCAGCAAAAATACAGACTTTCTCGGGCTTCAGCTCCAGGGGGCACGGCCAGGGCGCCGCCAGGGGGTGAAGTCGGGCGTGTCCCTTTACAGGAGGCGAGAGCCACATCTTGAGAAGGAACCCAAACGTGTGATTCGAGCCCACCCCCGAGGGTTTGCAACAGGGGCCGAGGGACATGTCAGGCAGATAGAGGCCCCGCAGAGGCCGAGATCCCCGTTTCCTTCCTGCCCTTGCTCTTGCTGCTCTCACCCCTGTTTCCCGCTACCCTCTCGGTTCAATGTTCGCCTATATTTGGCTGGCGACCCAGAATCGGTCGATATTGAACGATCTGACGTTTCGGAAACGGCCGATCGTTCAAGATGGAACGATCCCCGCGGTGTCCTGAACCAACCGCCGGGCTCGAAACGACACGAACCTGCCGTATGCAGAGGGTTTCGCCTTCGGCACGGCCTCGCCTTGGGCGGAGGCTGGCGGCAGCTGCCGGCGGAGAGGAGCTCGAGACGTCTCCGGCGGCGGAGGGCGGCGGAAGGGAGGCGTCCACAGTTTTTGGATCCAAGGCTTCCGGCAGCGGCCCTTGGTGGATGCAGGCGTGGGCGACGGGGGTGCGGGCGGGTGTGGGTGCGCGCTCGGGCAGGCAGGCGAGGACAGAAGTCTTAGCATGGGTTCAGGGACGGCTTTTGAGGCAGAGGCAGATGCAGAAACAGAGGCAGGGATATCCAGAGCCAGCCATGCACGTGATCGGGCAGACTGGCAGATTGGCACAGGCAGACCAGAGGGAGAGAGAGAGAGGGAGAGGGAGAAAGAGGTGTGTATATATGTATATAATCAAAAAGTCCCAGGGGCATACCCAACCCATACGCAACAAGTGGCTACATTAAATGACGAATGACATTTTGAAAGGCCACGAGGTCGTTGGTGGAAGCTACATGGGAACCCATTCGTTGCACCCCCAATGTAACTTGTACGAGGCGACCCCGAAAGAGAGCAAGTGGGTAGGGGGACGACAGAAGGCTGATGACGAGAACAGGAGGAAGAGACAAGGCGTGAACGGCTCACGGAGGTGGCGACAGCTCAGCAGATGGCATCCCCCACGGAGGGCAAGATTAGTGCATTTGGATTCGCGTACGGCCAGGCGTTTCTGAAAGGTAGGCCAGTTGCACCACTGGCAGTTCCCCAGGGAAGGCGAGATCCCGTTTGGATCCATGTGTAAGGTCCGTACCAGCGGTGGCGCAGCCGGCAGCGCCCAGATGGCGAGGTCCCCTTTGGATCTGCGTGAGGCCTCGCTCGGTTGGACCTCCCAGGAGCTCACGAAATCAGTCGGACCCCATCCTAGTCAATTGGCGTTTTCACCAGAGGCTGCGGCCTGAACGTTCGCGCCCTGATGGGCACGGAGATTGATCCGAGGGCGACCGCACAAAAAAAAAGAGCTCACGAGAGTGGCGCCGGCTGCGCAGTTGTCTGCCCCAAGGGAAGGCGAGGTCCCGCTTATGGATCGACGCCCTCGGCGGCCAGCCCCCGGGGGGAAGTGAGAGGGGGCGGGCCTCTCCAGAAGGGCCGGGAAGTCCGTCCTCGAGCCTCCCGTGCCGTTTTCCAAGCCTCCGCCGAGGACACAGCAAGCTCACAGGAGGCCCGAGGGTTTCTGAGAAGCCCCCGGCGCCTTCTGAGAAGGCCTCCTCCGTCTCACTCCCCCCGCCCTGCGGCGGCCCCACAGCCGCTGCCGCTCCCCAGGCGCTTCGGCGGAGGCCCCGCCCGCGCAGGGGAACGCCACCTCCGAGCGCAGTGCAGGTCTTCTGCTCGAGCGCGGGCCCACCCCCAGCGCCTCGGCGAGTGCAACGTTCGCCCCGCGCTCCAGCTCGGCGGCGGCCCCGGGGGGAAGAGAGAAGGGGCGGGCCTTCTCAGAGGGCTCGGACGCCCCCCGGCCTTAGGATGCTCCAACCGACTTTAGCCTTGATCACCAGAATGAATTTTGAGCACCAGGAAAACACTCCCAAAATCGAGGGTTTTCACGTGTCGGGCCCTGGGAGACACTCTTTCGACACTCTTTCGACATTGTTTCGACACTCTTTCGATAAGTACTCTTTCGACACTTTTCCGGGTGCTCGACATTATTTCTGGGATGCGGTCCTGAAGTAGGATGGGAGCAGCGTAACCTTGGCCCCTCCCCCCTCGCTCGCAGCCGACGTTTGTCAGGAGGGAAAAAACACACAGACACAATTAATCGTCGATTCCCCAGTGAATATAGGAAAATATGGGAAGTGGGGGGGAAGACAAAAAACCAGAAAATATGGGGAAATAGGGGGATCTTTTTATTTGTGTGTATTTATTTGTGTGTCCTGGGGCCCCTTCAGTTTGAGCCACGTGCGCCAGGCTGGCCGCTGGACCTCCCAGCAGGTCGCGAGCGCGACGGCGGCCGGCGCAGCCGGCAGCCCCCCAGGGAGAGCGAGGTCTCCCTCTCGGGTCTGCGCAGGGGCCCCGCTGCGCTGCGGGAGGGGAAGGAGGAGGAGGAGGAGGAGGAGGAGGAGGAGGAGGAGGAGGAGGAGGACGATAGGGGAGGAGGACGATGGGGGAGGAGAGGTGGAGGAGGAGGAGGAGGAGGAGGAGGAGGAGGAGAGGGGAGGAGGAAGAGGAGGAGGGAGAGGAGGAGGGAGGAGGAGGAAGGAGGAGGAAGGAGGAGGTGGAAGGGAGGAGGAGG